TACAGCGCGTCCCGCTTCCCCTCCCTCGTTCCCTCCCTCGTTCTCTTCCCCGCCCTCCCCCTCCTTCCCTTCCTCCGTCCCTCTTTCCTCCCCTCCGTTCTTCGCGCTGTGCACGGGCAACGTCGATTCTTCTTGGTTCCCTCCGCCGACACTTACCCTTCCCTCCGACGCCCCCCGCCCTCCTTCCCCCTTGGTCTTTTTCCGTGTCCGAGGTTTCACCACCGTCCCTCCTTTCCCTGGTTGTGGGGACCCACCACTGTTTCCGTTGTCTTTTCCTTCCTCCCTCCCTGCGGGCAGGGACGCGGAAGACGGGTCTGGCAGGGGGACTAAGGGGGGTAAGGGCTCCACGGAGGATAAAGTCGGAGCAGTGGATGCTGCATCTGTGATAAGCGGCAAAGGAGGTGGAGGATTCGGGGAAGGAGGGAGCAACTCCATAGAATTCGTCATGCGGAGGGCCAGTCGTGCTAATGGGGGTCAAGAGGGAGGAGGGGAGGGAGGGAGGGAGAGAGGAAAGAAGGAAGGAGGAGAAGATGAGGATGCCTACAAATTGAAAACTTCCACGTTCAAAGTATACCCAGGAATGAGAATCACGGGGCAAGAAAGAAAAGAAACGAGAGTCTTCCTGGACCTGTATGGGTGTAAACAAATGTGAAAGCGAAGAGGGGGGTAGCCAAGGCATGTGAGAACGATCACAACAGCCTTCTCAATCCACACCCAATGCCATGGCACACAAAGACCCCCCCTAAAAAACACCCTTCCGTCCACACGATAGCCAGCCGTACCACACACCCACATTGGAAAGGCGTGGCGACGGTGCTTAATACGGCGGAGGCCATTGTGGGGTCCAGCCCTGCGTCCAAAGGAAGGGTGAGGGAGCGAGCCTTCAAGTCGTCGTCGTCTCCTGAGGGCTTTTACAGGGGAATGAAACCCGTCGTTTTACGCGCTTCCTTGCCCTCCTTGGCTTGTGGCAAGGCCTGCACTCCATCAGAGGACGTGGGAGTGCGTGGGACCGGGTCAAATCGGTTGTGGTTTTGGTTCTATGTACACAGAGAGGTTAAGATATGAAGATACAGCTCTTCTTCCTCCCTTTCCCCGTGAAGTAAATGGGTGTGCATGACGTGAGTGTATCACCGCTTGAAAACACAAGCGCGTAACCAGAGCAAGGACTATGATACGACCGTGCAATGATGGCGGGATGTGTGGCACTTTCCCTTTCATCCATTCCATGATTTCACGCGGACCGCTGTCCCGTAGATCCATTTCCCCCCCTAATGCTCCATTATGCACGTTCCTGGAAATCCATGGACGTACGATCAATGTTACTCGTCAAACACGCACGCCCTATGAAATTGAAATCATCCATCGTCCTAACGATGACATCTTAGCGTCCCGGTGGAGAATCATGCCCTTGGCATGCCCGCTGCCCTCTGCATTCTTTGTCGCCTCTCATTCACCCTCCCTCCC